CATCCCAGCCCCAGAGGTAACCAGAATTACTCAGAGGTTTTCATTCCCATTCATTTTTTTTTTTTTACTATTTGTATAGACAATATGGCTTTTGTGATTTTTCAAAGTTCTCTTACTGTATGTAAGAGAAACCATCAATTTTCAATTTCTTTTTAAACTCAGCATTATGCTTTTGGCATTTATCCATGCTAATACCTGAAGTTCTGGTTGATTTCCACTTCTAACTATCCTGTTGAATTAATACACCGTAGTACACAATTTATTTTCCAATACATTTTTACTATACAAGTAATTGCTTATAGTTTGTTTCATTGTGAAACAAACCTGTTAAGAACCTTCAAAGTACATGGTTTGTTGGTCACATTTGTGAGTTTCTCATTTTCATCCCTCCATATTAATACAGGTTTGTCATGGGGCATATAGAGTATGTGGAGCATCTAATATTGCTAGATATTTCCACTTTACAGTCTCCATAGTAGTGTAAAAACCATTCTGCTGTTTTGTAACCTGCAAGTGAATATCACCCTTAGATATTTTAACTTTTGCCTATATGATGGGAATAAAATGTTATTTCTCTGTTTATTGATAAGATTGAGGATCTTTTAATGTTTTAGACTACCCTAGTCTTCTCCATGAACTGACTGTCCATATCCTTTGCCCATTTGTCTATTGGATTGTGTGTTTTCTTATTGATTTGTAGGAGTTCTTTATATCTTCTGTACACTAATTGTTTAATGGTTATACATGTTGCAAATATCTTCTCTGGGTGAATAATTCATCATTTAAGTTTGTTTATTCTTTTGGTCGGCAATTGTTCCTTTTAATGCAGGAAATTTCATCAATATTTTCCTTAATGATTTGTGATTTATGCTTTAAATGGTCATTACCTACTAAAATATATTACAATACTTATCCATTTTCTTTTGAAGGTACTAATTCTTTGTTTTACAATTATAGGGCCTTGAATCCAGCTGAAATTTATTTCTGTGTAGTGTATATGGTAGAGAACTCCCTTTTTTCTATATATATAGCTAGTTGTTTCAGCACCAATTTATTTAAGGGTCTATCCTTCTTCCACTTATTTGTTAAGTCACCTCCCCTGTAAATCAGGTTTCCATAGCAATGTGATTCTTTATTCATCTTCATTAGTGTGTTTGTTGATCCCTGCTCCTATACTAGTGTCTTAAGTAGAAGAAAAAGAAGTCCTTCATTGTTATTTTTATCTCTCGCTCCCTGTCCTGTATTCACCTTCTCTGTCCAATAGGTTTGTGGGCGATGTAGCTATCCCCCAGTGATCCAATGTCACAGTGATGGTCCAGAATTATTAACACACAGTGATACTCAGGATATCACAGATCCTATTCTAGAACAGCAGGTGGGCACTTTAATTTAGTCTCCAGTCGCTGGGCTGTTCTCTGTCTCATTCAGACCTCTAGACCAAAGCTTGCTGTAAGTCCCAGAAAACACCCTCTCACCATTATCATCAATCTCCTTTCATGTGTGAGGTGTAACAACCCACTGCATGTTCAAGCACTGAGCTGGCTCTGACTCCACAATCAAAACAGGGGAACACTGAGTCTCCACTATGCTGCCAACGCCTGCTTGTACACCTAGCAAGCCTTCAGCCATGCTTATTATTTTTCAGATCTAGTCTATTTCCAATCCCTGATATGTTTATTTTTGAGCTCATCTCTGGCGCTCTGCTTTTTCTTTTTTTTTTTTTGTATTATCACTCATTCTTATGCAACTGAAAAAGAAGTGTTGCATCAGAGTATTAGGTACTGTGATACACTGAATGGAAGCAGCAGAACTGAATTTTTCTAACTTGATTATGATTGAACTAGAAGATCATGGGAAAATAAATCATCATGATGTGATGAAGAAGAGCAGGACATAAGGAAGCAAAAAAATAATAATAACAGCCATGACAGTCTGTTAAGAGCTGTTCCAAGTGTTTTACCTGCATTACTTCTATTCTGGAAGGAGGAGGAGGGAGAGTGGAGAGGGAGGAGTGCAAAAAGAAGAAAAACAGCAAAAAGAACAGAGAGGCTGTGTAATTTTCTTGAGGTCACACAACCGGTAAGGGGTAGACTTGAACCCAGGGTGTCTAACTCCAGAGCGAGAATCTTAACTATACCACACTGTACGGCCTCGTCTCAGCTTTGCAGAGGGTAGCTCTGTCATCCCGGGAATGGCACTTCACCTCTTAGTGGCAACATTTTCTCAACTGTGAGATGAGAGGTTTACCCCGGATGACCTCTCATCTGTTTTCCTGACTTCTAATCGTCTATAATAAAATGAATTTCTAGTTCTGCTTCACTCCCTATTTCAGAAGACCTTTTGAAATTTGCTTTGGGAGCGAAAATCTTTGGCAAGTCTCCAAATTTATTTCAAAACAATCTTTGATGAGATATCTAATGCATTTGAAAAACACCATTTCATGATTTGAAACGTCCTATAAGAGAAGAGAGAAGAAAGCTCTATGGATAAATCATGAGTCCGCTATCATAATATCTAGTCAATGTCCGATCACTAAGTAAATATGAAAAGTCCTGAACGTAGATATGAAACGAAAGGTATAGTTGTGTGAAACGACTTGACTCCTGGTCTTTATTCTGTCTCTAACACAAACTTAACTCTTCTGGACTTTGGTTATCTTGTTTTTAAAATCGGATAGTTAGGTTTTTGAGATCCCTTCTCTTTCTAATATTCCCTTAGTTCACTGATGAGAATCTGTTACAGAAGTTCAGTGAAAGTATTATTTGAATAGGCAACAAATAAATAAGAAGTAAAAACTTTTATCCCACGAACAACAAAAATCCCCGGATCAAGTTAGTTTCTTAATTTACCTCTCGTAAGAAGAATGTCTGTGTTAAGAATGTGGGCCCTGGGGCGCCTGGGTGGCTCAGTGGTTGAGCGTCTGCCTTTGGCTCAGGGCATGATCCCAGGGTTCTGGGATCGAGTCCCGCATCAGGCTCCCCATAGGGAGCCTGCTTCTCCTTCTGCCTGTGTCTCTGCCTCTCTCTCTCTCTCTCTCTGTCTCTCATGAATAAATAAATAAAATCTTAAAAAAAAAAGTGAGCCCTTGTCAGATTGCCTTAGTTAGTTTCTTTCTAAAGAGTTTTGTAAACCTTCTGATCCTAATATTACACATTTGGAAAATGAGGATAATCAGTTCCTACTTATTGTGATGACTGAATAAGAGAAACTGCTTATACCTGGCACATAGTAGGTTATCAGGAAATGTGTGCATCTATTAACAGTAGTAACTTGAATAATTGAGGGTATCTTCAGAGTCTACATCATTAAATATCTATTAAAAACATATGTGCCTACCATCATGAATAACTTAGGTGCCTAAAGACAGAAGGGCATTACCAGAGGGAACTGACTGCAATTTCTCTCTCTTTTTTTTTTTTTTAAGATTTTATTTATTTATTCATGAGAGAAAGAGAGGCAGAGACACAGGCTGAGGGAGAAGCAGGCTCAATACAGGGAGCCCGATGTGGGACCTGATCCCAGGTCTCCAGGATCACACCCCAGGGCCGAAGGTGGTGCTAAACCGCTGAGCCACCTGGGAATCCCCTGCAATTTCTCTTACACTAAAATCTCATTTAGTATTAGTTTGAAAAAAATTGATGGTTTAATGGGCATTCAGTACTATCAGACGCTTTATATATTAGGACAATTAGAAAAGGTTCCTGCCTTCACAGTAATGGATAACATCTAAAACCCATGCACAAATGGGGAAAAAAAGATGTAGCAAATGAGAGAGACCTTAGCTTGCCAGTCACACAACTTCACACAGTGTTATCAGAAAGCATTTGTTAGTAAAGAGATAGTGCGAGGAACTACAATCACAGCTTATTCAAAATTCCCTGGGACTGTCCAAGACATGGAGACTATACACAGCCTAAGATACTGGTACCAAAATCTACTTTTCCATCCTTTTGGCTGAAATGGGGAAAATAAAATTGAAATGTAGTAAATGAAGGAACAAAATGGGGGTGAGTAGAAATATTGTAATGGGAGGTTCATTTTATGAGCGCTTTTATTTTAATGACTGTTCTTTCTAGATTATAGGTAAAATTTTATGTAAATCCAGACCTAATTTTTCATAAAATAAAAATATAGGGCAAGGACCAAAAACAAACCCACTGACTATCCAAACTAAAAGCTTCCTGCTTTACACCTGCAATCGAAGTATAAAAACTATTTTAACTCCTTCTTTGAACAACATAAAATTCATAATAGTTGGCATTTAACTTAAAAATTCAAAACAATAATCCAAACCCATTTTTTGACCTGAAGACACTTCAAATTCCTTCTTTTAGTTTATGATAGCAGTGACCAATTTCAAAGAGGTTCAATACGAATTGACTGCCTTGAAGATACAAATTGCTATAATTATCTTTGAATACACCTATCATTAAACTAAAATGGATGTCAATAAAGCAGCAGAAATATTTAAACTATTCAGGGCATATTATTACAAAACAAGAGAAAAATAATCTCCCCTCTTCTTTCAACAACAGTAGTTTGGACGATAATTTTCACATTTTATCTGTATACATGAAATCACATAATATTTTCCTGCTATTTACACTACTATTCTGTTTTCAAAAGATCATCAGATGCTATATATATATATATATATATATATATATATATATACACACATATGAGTGTGTGTAAATGCATCTGAAGTCGTAGTCAGGATTTTACTTTAAGGAAAATATAAGCCTGGTGGTTTAAAAAAGGGAAATATTTTGGTAAGATTTGAACTGAAATAAACACAATATGGTATTAAAACATATTCACAGTAGAGTTAAAATTCTAACTAATTCAAAGCTATGTTTAGAACAGTCATTCCTAATAACATTCAGAATCTTTTGGCTCTTTCCATAGGGGTATGGCAGTGCCAAAAAAGTGTACAATGTTCAGTTGTTCATTCTGATTGCAGTTTTTAATGTAATTTGCCCTGTGCATCCCAAGTTCACCTTGTCAGAGAGTACTGCTTCCCCAAGGCTGCCCCAGGGTCCTGTTGACGGATGGCTCTAATTGCAGTCGGCGCTGTAAACAAGGCAGCTACTCCATGCTCCGCGAGCACACGGAAATAAGCGCCAGCATCTGGTGTTCCCACAGGCTTCCCCTACAATGAGATTCATTTAAAATGTCACTGGGTAAAATGTCTCATATTTCATTGACAGTTCAATACTTATACATTTAACACAGTGATATTAATAAAGTGGGGTTCTCAACAAATCTTAGTTTTAAAATAGCCCTATGTGCTATCATAAATAAAACACACCAAATGCCCAGGCTTCAGAGAGGCCATTTGCTCCATTACATCATCCTAAAAGCTTTTCAATTTGCCATTTTTCCCTTCTTTAAGTTTTCTCAAAGATAAAGGACAGGAACTATATATCACAATCAAATTAATAACATAAAACAGTCTTCTGTTAGCCAAGAAATGAAATACATTGTTTTGGGTGATAGACTAAATGAGAAGTATGATTGTTATGCATTTCTGACTTTAACACTTTTCTTCCTAATTATTTTTAAAAGTGACAAGAATGGGGCTCAGTCTGTTAGGTGGTGGACTCTTGACTTCGGCCCAAGTCATGATCTCAGGGTCCTGAAATCGATCCCTGCATTGGGCTCCCTGCTCAGTGCACAGTCTGCAGGAGATTGTCTCTCTCCTCCTCTTTCCTTGCCCCTCCCCCAGCTCACTCACTCACTCACTCTCTCAAAATAAATAAATAAAATCTTAAAAAAAAGAAGTGACAGTAACAATTCTCAAAGTGTTTGAGAAGACAGAAATATATGGGATCACAGTTAATTTCTGAACAATAACTTTTTCAATTAAATGCCTCATTCCAAGGAAAACAACTCTTATGACTTAAAAAAATTCAGTAAGATATTTCCAAATGTATGTTTCCTATAGCCTCAAAACATTTTACATATTCAATGGAAAATTCATGAATAAAAATCTAGCAATTTTATAATCAAAAAGACACAAACAATTTTTTTTTTTTTTGAGAGAGGAGAGAGAGAGCGCACACTGTGGGAAGGGGCAGAGGCAGAGGGAGAAAGAGAATCCCAAGCAGCCTCCATGCTCATGCCCAATTTAATTCCAGACACAGGGCTGGATCTCACAACCCTCAGAGTTCATGACCTGAGCGGAAATCAAGAGGCAGTGGCTTAACCAACAGAGCCACCAAGCTCCCCCAAAGCATTTTTCAATTGGTGTTTCTGTGAAGTAGAAAATGAGCATAGCATAAATAAATCAGTGATTCTGCAAAAATTCTAAGTGTTCCATAAAATCTATGGTCGCCCAGCCATATCCCCTCATTCCTTAATCCAATCTCATTACCGCTACTTTTTCCTTTGATTCTAAAGCAAGGTGCCTGGAATGTTAAAATATGTCATATAAAAACAATCAAATTATTTTGGAAGGGGTTGAGATAATAAAGGAAAACAGATCTCTGATTTTGGACCATTTCTTGAATACTTAAAAGTGTTAAAGAACATCAGGCATTCCCAAAAGATGAGTTACTATATATGTAGTATTTCCTAAACTTCTCTGTCCACACTCCCTATATGAACATCTCATGGATCTTATATTCTGGAAAACACACCTGAGAAACACTGATAAATAAGTTAAAAAGAGAAAAGAAGTTGCTAGTGGCAAACTGAGATCTCTCTCCAAAAAGAGAAGAATAAATGAAAGGATAAAAAAAGGTTGTTCATGAATTTAGATTCACTATCTACTTCTACTTGGATCTTCGATAGGTCATTATTAGTTTGTACTTTCTTTTTTTAATGACTACCTTTAATATTCTTTCATGTAATTATGTTTTTAAAATATAACCTCTTTCTTATATCCTGCTGCTTTTTCTCTTACTATTTTTAAAACCAAGGAATTTATTGCAACTAGAAATTCACTTTTACTATCACAACTATCCCAAAATACTTTATTTCAATTTAATTCCATTATCACATGGTAATAGAATAATCAACATGTTGATATAGTATAAAAAGCTGCCAGATATAATCTGGCAACTCATGTACATAACTTGACTTACAAATTTTGAAGCCTTGAGCACATCAGTCTAAAATGAACGAGTACTTTTGTTCTTTAGAACCATGTGAGGTAAACATTTGACTTTTACTTTTTCGATCTGTCTTAGGCACTGTTCAGTCCCTGGTGTACTAGATTGTGACTTCAGAAACTTGATCTCACCCACATAAAGATGATTTATTAACTGACCTTATGCAATTGACTTTCCCTGTCTATGCTGCCATTTTCATGCCTGCTAAATAAGAATAAATCACTTTTCCAATATTTCCTCGATAAGCTAAAAGCACTGAGATAATATTTTAAAGTAGTTTGACCTCTACTGAAGAAAGATATTTTATAGGCAATTGGAATTGAGTTCACTACAGTTCCGGTGTCATGGGACAAAGATAATACACTCACTAAAGGGTGATATTAGTGTCATAACAAAATGCTATACCATAATGACTACCTATATGGAGGAAAAATTAATGGATTTTATAATGCCTTCAATTAATTATGTCTAATGATAATGATGGCTTAAACATTAGAAATAATAAAAACTCTCCTGTACCTTTTTATAAATAATATGATTATTACTGTTGCAATTCTGACCCACAGCAAATACATTTTCATCAATATTTTTAGCATAAAAATCATGATAACATAGCATTTCTATTAGGACACTAATGGAAGTGATGTACATAATTGCACCATATTCCTTTGTAAATTTGTTGAGCTCAGAAAGGTTCAGATTTTTGCATCTTATTGTCCATTCCCACAGGATCATTCAATGCTGTGTTTCACTATTTTAGAATTTAGTGACTCAATGGCTTATTGATTTTATTAAACACTCTTCTCCTCTGCTCTCCCATACATATACAAGCTTGTGTACACACACACACATGCATGCATGCACAGGCATTATTGTTTTACAATACTGTTTAAAAATGACCAATAGCACACTAACCACGCTGAGTTGCTTGGAGAAAATGACTTTGATTCCATAACTTGCATATTCAGTGAGGAGCAACAGCCCAAACACTATTCAACTGAAAAGTAGGAAGATTCTAAAATTGTAAGGATTTTTAACAACCATACACACCGAAAGCAGTAATGCGGCTAAAAGGTAACAATAACAAAAACTTAAATTGGTTTGTTTATTTATTTATTACCAAATTGACCTGTGTTCTCATTCCCTTTCCCCAAACTAAGGCTAAAGTGTCCACTGCTGCCCAGAAAATAGAAGCAAAAAGCAATCCCTACAATGGTGAAGCAGGGATTCTAAGCGCTCAGCTGTTATAGATTGTGAATTTTTAATATCAGAGACTTATAAGACAGCAACTGCTAATGTTTATAATGTACTTAGCGATGGTGCAAAGCATAGAAACTGAGACAGACAAATACCTGAAGATTAAGTTGCATAAACAATTTTCTACCACTTATGATTCAGTGTGTTAGTTTGAAGCAACCAGAGACAATAGATAGTGAGTTAGAAAACCAGGTAATGTCTCAACTTCTCACATAATCCATCCTGAGGTTCAATGGAAAATAATGAAAGACAGCAATTTACCAAGACTAAGACAAGCTTACGCAGTAGAGTTAGATCTTTGAGCAAGAAATCATTTGCTTTATTAATCCTCTGATTTTGGTTTATCCAAAGGCTTGGTGTCAAAGCTACTTGTCATTTCTCAGACGTTGACATACAAATTTCTGAGTCAACAGAAGTTTTTGCCTCTTTTTGTGGCAGGATTAGAAATACATCTGGTCTCTTTTTGAACACTACTTCTGAGAATATCACCGAAGGCATGTTTGTACTGCAGTTCTAAGGTGAAGACAGCAACATCCCTTACAGACTAGTTCTGAATTTAATTTCAGCAGACAGGTGCAGCAGTGCTGGCTGGTTTATTCTGGAAGAGTGATGAAATTGGCAATAGCATTTGTTAAGTTCCTACTACATGCCTTGTGCCTTTACTAAGGGATGAAAGTTTGGGCATGCAACATCTAAACTTGAGACTTGTTAAAACATAGTCAGTTCCTCAGGATATAATATTTAGTGAGAGAAAAGTAAAATGCAGGATAGTGTGCATATCATTTAGACGACGCCGTATGTATGAAAATGAGGAAGGGGACACTGTTTATGTAAGAGTGAACTAATAGACACAGAAGACTGACTGCTTCCAAGTCAGAGAAATTGAACTGCTAGGAACAGAGGACAGTGAGGTTTGTATTCTTTACCCTTTTGTGAGTTTTGAGATATGAACCAAATGAGTGTACAACCACTTTTAAAAATGGGCTTTTTCTTCCCTAAAGTCCCTCTCTCAATAACTTCAATTAGTTGCCCCAATCTTGAAAACTTTACTACTGCATTAAAGCCCTATGAGACAATCACTCTATGCCTTAAGACCCTCAGATCTAGGATTTTGTGTTACTATACCAGATTCTCTCTTAAGGAGTAAAAACTTGCTTATAAATACAATTGATAACCAAGACTTTAAATCAACTGGCTTCATTGATTATTTGCTAGAGATTTCCCATAATTCCATGGGCCTCACCGGTGGGGATATCCTGCCCCTTTGCCTTCCTTGATCTTATTCATACCGCCATCTAATTTGCCTCAATCCAGTGACTGTCAACCCTAAATGTAGACTAGACTTGCTTGGGATGCTTTTGAAAGATACCAATATCTGTTCCTCACTCCCAGAGACTATGATCTGACTGGCCTTAAATTTGGCCTGGTATTGTTATGTTTCATGTAATAAGTAATTCTAATGTGCAGCCAACGTTGAGAACCAAGGCATAGTCCTTAGATCTCAGGCATTACCTGAGGCTAGGCCATTATCCAATACCACCTGCCTCATTACCCTGGGAAATGAGCCTAGAACTCAACATTAGCCTTTTCCCACCTGCTATAAATAAATGAGCCAATCCAAGTATCAATAAAAAATATACTGATAATTGAAATCTGACTATTGGGAGCCAAATATTGGGAAAATAATTGGGGAGAATTGCCTCATTCTTTATATCTTGCTCTATAACTTGTCTAGACTCGAGACTCTACATACATACTATGATTTATAGGACCTAGCATT